GCTGTTTCCTTCTCCCACTCTCCTCTCCATTCCTTTCCTGTCTCCACCTCCCGCACCAGCCCCGTGGGGACCTCTTGGCCTCCCTCCCTCCCTCCCAGTGAGGGACAGGCAGACGGACACCCTGCAGGAGCTGCACCGCCCCTTGGTGGCTGCCCCTGGTGCTTCCTGGCAGCCACCTCCTTTTCTTCTTTACCCTCATTAAAGTTGTGCTGCATCCAAGCCTGGGTCTCCGAGTCCTCCTTTCTTCCATGGGAACTCTTCCACTCTGCTCAGGGGAAAAGGTGGCTTCCTGGAGACGATTTATGTTGGTTGCAAAAGATGACTTTTCCTCATTCCCAGAGGAAGAGAGGGCAGGACTGGCTGCACTGGGTTACCTCTTGTGCTGTGTGCCTTGGAGCTGAGGAAGACATCCCTGACTCCTGCACAGGAATTGGCCATCCGTTCTTGAAGCTTTGCTGTATCTCTTCCCAGATGGGCCTGGAGCGCTGGCCCTGGAGCACATTCAAGAAGAGGATGGCTCCAAAGGGTGGCACTAATATCTGGGGACAGCTTCATTTCTGCCTTCTCCTCCATTCCATCACCTCGTCTAGGGTCCATGGCTAGCACACAGAGGCACAGGTAGATGGGACCTCACACAGTCCTTCAGAGCTAGACATGCAGGGCTGAGGTAGCTCACGGGTTAGTACCAGTCCCAGTCCTGAAGTGGAGTCCCCACTGCCTGTGAATACACCAGATCATGGTTGTGTATCTGAGCCTGTTTGCAAAGAAACCAAACAAGAAACCACTTCTTTTTTTAAGGCAAAAGCTAAAAGCAGCAGGTCAGATGGGTTCTTTGGACCAGAAGCAGTCAGGAGCTATCAGAGATGACAAGAAGAGTTCCCAGAGGATGTCAGCATCATACAGAGAGACAGGGAGGAAAGGACAGAAACAGACAGATGAAGAGCAGGCTGAGGAGGGAAGGGATGAGAGCAGATGCAGGGAAGGACAGGAGGACAGTCCAGGGCAAAGAGGTCTGTGAAGAAGCAGGAGGTCCAAGCAGACTCGAGGGAGCTGTGGGGCCACCCCATGCCCGGCTTGATAGGCACAGCTCAAGCCCCGGTACAGTGCTGAAACCTGCTGGTTTTCACTGGGCACCCCCCTCTCAGTGGCAGGGATGCAGCCTGCTCCAATGCAACGCTGCAGGTGACAGCCACTCCTTACCCCAAGCCTTCCGCACACCCTGGCACCCAGGGACTCCCTGCCCCAGGGCATGGCTCCCTCTTACCTCACTCTCCTCTGACACCAGGGTTCCACAGACCCAACACGAAGCCAAGGGGGTTCATTAGTGCAGCTCATGAAACAGCTCACGAAAGGGGGAACAAGGGCAGCGGGAGGCTGTAGAACAACACCACACATCAGTTCCCGATGGGAAGAGGGGGCTATATTCCCTCATCCCTGCCGTTAGAGAGGGCATCAATGCCAGGGCAAAGCACCAAGCCTTTGGTCCTATTAACGTTCCTATCCTTAGCCAAATAAAGAGAAGCAGGGCAGCAGCAAAGGATATTTGGTTGTTAGTCCCATAGGCTCTCCTTGAGCTTCCCAAATCCTTACGTCCATCCCATTTTCCCCTTCTTATCGGTTGCAAAGTCCACGTGGCCTTTCGCCAAAGCTCTGCCTGTATTTTCTTCAGGGCTCATCGATTTGCTATGGGAGACTTTTCGGCTTGGTTATCGTTATCCCTGGTCTATCAAGCTTGTGGGTTTGGTTACTGCATCCCCCTTTATTATCCCACACTATGGACCACGCTGGCTGACTCCATCCAACCTATCCTCATACATGGGAGGATGGCTGGTCAAGGACTGCAGGGCTGGAAGGAGCTTGGCTTTCCCTGCCAACTGGGCTGAAAACAACCCCATAGGAGTGCCCCACAACAATGCCTCCAGCCTGCAAGGGAGCCCTGCAGCACTTTGGACCCACGTTATGACAGCGATGACATAAGCCTGGAATTCTCATCAGCCCTCGAAGCAAATATCCAGGGGGGAGCGATCATGGTCTAAACATGGGAATTCAAAGATAATAGGGCAGGAATCTCAAACACAGGCCATGCCATTAGCTGGCGGGTTTTGGATGAGCCTTCCAGGACATCATTGCTTCCACAAAGGGTTTCTCTAGGCCTGGAGCAGTGCAGGATCGGGACCGTTCTTAACTCATCTACTTGGCTCCTTGTGGAACAGGAGAGCTGGAAGCTGTGGCCTCTTCCTCCAGGATGTGGAGGATGAATGAACATCCCAGCTCAGTGCTGTGCTGAGGCGTGGGGCTGCCTGTAATGGAAGTGGGGATGGAGAAAAGGTCTGGTATGAAGGGATGCTGAGGATTCCATGAAGCGGGTTCTGAGCTCTGGACTAGACAGAAGCCTTCTTGGGCCTGGATGCTCTTGGCAGGGTCCTTGAGATCCGAAGGCAAGGAATTACATGAGCTTTGCTGTATAGCCCCTGCCTCCTCACACAGTGGGTACCTTGCATTGCAGATTGACAGGCTGCTCCTCATCCAACCCCATGCCCTGCTTTCACCCACCCTCTCCCCAGGGACACATCCTGCTGTGCCCATTGCAGAGAGCCCTGCTGCCCACCAGCTCCAGTGAGCCCTGTGTCAGGCAGTGCCAGCGCTGGATGGTTGTCATTGAGCCTTCCCCTGTGCTGATGCCCAGCCCCATCCTCAGCTCCTTCCCAGAGAAATCCATTCTGGACTCTTTGTGCATTGGGAGGCCACAGCAGTTCACCAAGGAGCCTTTTGCCTTGCTGGGGATGGCTTGTGAGGGTTCTGTGCTGCCTGAGCACTGCCAATCCAGCTCTGGAGTGCCTGTAGGTTCCGAGCTGCCTACCTAGGTTCCTACCTGCCTATGTAGGTGCATGGCTCCCCTTGAGCCTGGCAGCTCACAAGCAGGCTCCCTGGGGCAGAGGTGTGGGATCCCAGGCAGCCCTCAGTGTTTAGATCCACCTTTTGGGCTGAGGTTTGGAGAAGGCAAAGGATGGGAGATGTGTGGTGAGCAATGGGGCTGGAAGACAAGACTCTCCCCATCCCTTTCCCAAAGGCTGAGGAGGGCATTTGTGTGCGGGAAAGGAGCAAGTTGATGGTTGCTGGCCCTATAGGAGCCAGGGACATCTTCCTCAGTGCCTTGAACAGAGCCCGGCGCCCTTGTCTCACCCTTCCCTCCCTCTGGGAACGCTCATGCCTCTCCTTTGTGCCTGCAAGATCTCCCCAGAGCGATGCTGCTCTCTCTGGCAGCTGGGGATTGCATCCAGAGACAGAAGGACCACACAGAAGCCAAGGCTGGGATGCAGCAGAACTTTAATGAGTTGAAAGAGGGAAAGGAGCTCCCCTGAGCGGGGCCATGGTGCAGGGAACACCAGGGGACCTTGGAGTCTGTGTGCCTTGGCCAGGCTGGAGTGTGCACCAGGTGTCTGCCCTCCTGAGAGGAAGAGGGGCAGCAGGTCCCTCCTCTGATGGGGCTTAGCAGGTCATTAGAGCCCAGGGAGCAGAAGACAACAGAGGAAAAGGAGAGAGGAAGAAGAGGGAGAGAACAGGCAAGTTACAAAGGGCCACATTTCCAGATTGCCCAGGCATGCCTCTTTCTGCCTTCGTTTGCAGGTGGAGCCGTGGATGCTCGGTGCCTCTGAGAGCAATGGCCGGGAGGTCCGTGCTCAGTCCATTACCATCTCCTGGGTTCCTGGTGTCCTTCAGTGGGGCATCTGCAGCAGCTTTAGCAGGGTCTGCAGCAGTAGCGGTTGGTGATGCAGGAGAGGTCGAAGCCCCCGGAGTTGATGGGCACTCCCTCACAGCTGAGGATGCTGCCAACGGCGGCGGAGGTCGAGGAGCCCACAACGGTGTTCTGAGGGAAGGAGCTGAGGATGGGGCCGGGCAGGGTCACCACCACGGGGGAAGGCTCAATGACGACGGTGGAGCTCTGGCACTGCCTGACACAGCACTCATTGCAGCTGTTGGCCAGCGGGGTCGGGCCGCAGGGCTGGCAGGGCACGCACGGGTTGCAGCAGGACATGTCTGGATGCTGGAGCTTCACCTGGACACAGGGCAGGGGCAAGCAGAGGATGGGACACGGCAGCAGCAGCTCTGCACCCAAGCCTGGGCAAGCCAAGGCACCTCCTGGCCCAGCACACGCTGACCACCTCCAAGCCCAGCAGCCGCCTCAGCTCAGTCCCAGCCTCTCTCTGCACAAGCCCTTCTCTCCCCTTCCCTCTGCCCCAAGAAGCAGCTCCCAGCCCTGCGCTAGCACAGCCTCCATCAGCTGAGAGCCCCGGGGAGGAACGACCTGCTCTGGAAGCAGCAGGAGCAGCCTTTCCATCACCAAGAACCAGCCCCAGGGGAGTTCTTTCCAAGGCAACAGCCCAAGAGTCCCCTCAGCCCAAACCCAGCCCCTCTCCACACCAAACCTTCTCCCCACTTCCATTCCCAGGACAGGCAGCCCTGGTGCAGTTCAGAGCTTCCAACTCACTTGCTGCTGAAGGAGAAGAAGCTGAGTGGAGCGGATGAGAGAGTCAAGAGCTGCGATGGTTTTTATACTGGTCCTGCACTGCCTCGGGTCCAGAGGAAGCCGCTGTGGAAGCAGTAATTTTCTGAGAAGCCCATCTGAAATGCAAAACATCCCAGGTAATGATACAGGCTCTGGCTCCGTTTCCTGCATGCCTGCCTTTTCATTTCCTTGTTTGGCCGTACCCACCTCCCCTTGAAGGCTCCTTTTCAGTCCTGGAATGGAGCCCCAGGGATTTCAGGGGCAGGAGCGCATCGGTGCCAGCATCGGTGAGGGCTGGATGGAGGGACAGGACGCACTGCTCCACTCTGCCTTCGAGGATGCTGGCTGGGAGGTGCCAGTGGAGCTGTTGCTGGGTCCCCCTGGCAGTGTGGGCACCCCATGGTGCTCCTGCCTCGCTCACCCTCCTCTCTGTGGGCAGAACGTGATGCTCCTCTCTGACACCCAGCACCTCCTTGCCCCTGCAGCCAGGCAGGGGTTCTCTGTGCTGGGGAGGTGGGAGAGGAGGGAAGCCTCCATCTGCTCCCTGCAAGAACCTGGACGCACCCATGAGCTCTGTGTGCGAGTCCTGCCGCGGGCTCGGAGGTCCCCGGCTGTGTGGAGATGCTGTGGTACCCCTGCCCCTCAGATGAGGGATCTGCCTGCTAAGCAGGAGCCCGTATGGGGCTTTCTGCACCCCCCAGTGCCTGTTTTCCAATAGCAGGAAGAAAGCGGTGTCCGGACTCCAGTGAGAGACCTGCGTTAAACAGAGCCCTTTTGGTCTCAGGGCGGGCTTTGGGGGTGAGCAGCAGCACAGGCCCATGGGGGGGTACCCAGGCAGGGTGGCTCTGTCCATCCCTCACCCCTGCAGCACCGTCTGCTCTGCCTGGTGGCAGCTTCCCCCTCTGCCGCTCGGGATGGCGAGGGGCTGGGAGCTGAGGTTGCGCCGGAGAGGCAGCGGTTGTCTTGGAGACACATGGGGGGTCCTGAATCATTCCCATATCCCTGCTCCTGTTCCCAGTCAGCCCCGTTCCCAAGCTAGGGAATCACCTCTCACTGTCAGGGAAGAAGCTGAATGTGTGAACGTTTGTCTGGGGTCCTGCAGCCCTCCAAGCGATCTCCCCTCGCTGACACTTCCAAGGCTGCACGCCCACAGCGGGGGTTGCTGGCATGGGATAACGGAGCCTCCATCCCGGCTCCATCCCGGCTCCGTCCCGGCTCCATCCCGGCTCTGTCCCGGCTCCATCCCGGCTCTGTCCCGGCTCCATCCCCGCTCCCTCCCACAGCCGCCGCTCGATGCTCCCTTGCAGGAGCGGATGCCTCATTTGCATAGCCACACCCCCCTTGCCGGGCCCACTCCTTATATGGCGCGTGACCACGCCCAACCCATCTTAGCCCCGCCCCTACGGGGGACTGCGTATTCTCTGTCCTGCAGCGCCACCTGCAGGCGGAACTGGGGAGCGAGGGAACCCCCTCCCCGGTCCCCAACACCCCGGGTACCCCATCCCCACCCCGGGCAGCACCCAGAGAGGGAGCAGAGAACAAAGAGGAGGAGCACAAAGGCTCCCACAAGTGACACAGGGATAACGGGGGGCTCCGGCACACCGGGGGGCACCCCACATCCCTGCTGGCCACCCCACAGCACCCTGCCAGCCCCATGGAGCCCCATGGCCATGCTGACCCCATGGCTGTGAGAGCCCAGGAGGAGTCGGGATGGGGGGGGGTCAGGGGGGTGGGAGGAGCTGGTCCTTGGAGACCTTGGACCCAGGTTCTGCACCTCAAAAATTGGCTGAGAGGGGGCAAGGGGGATGGAAGGACAAAGGGATGCAAACAGGGATGGAGGGATGCAGGAAAGGATGGAGGGGTGGATGGAGGGACAAAGGGATGCAAACAGGGATGGAGGGATGCGGGAAAGGATGCAGGGTGGATGGAGGGACAAAGGGATGCAAACAGGGATGGAGGGATGCGGGAAAGGATGCGGGGTGGATGGAGGGACAAAGAGAAACAAACAGGGATGGAGGGAAGCAGGAAAGGATGCAGGGGTGGATGGAGGGACAAAGGGATGCAAGGAGGGATGCAAAGAGAGATGGAGGGATGCAGGGAGGGATGCTCACATCTTGCTCCCGCCCTATGGGGTGGTCCAGCCCTACAGCAGAGCCCGACCAATGGGCAACTGTATAGTTGGAGGGAGCGGGACAAGAGAAGCACGGGGACCAATGGAGTGTCAGGAGGGGTGTGGAAAGTGAGTGACATCACTGGATGCAGCAGGCCTCCCCCCGCCCAGGAGCTGCTCTTGGAGGGGTCCAGCCTTATCCTGTGGGTCCCCCCATGTCCCACACACATCCCTAGAGCCCAAACCCCACCGAGACCCAAACCCAGGGGACTGAGGGGCTGCTTTCCCCACCTATAGTGCAGAGCAACGGGTGGGAAAAGGGTTTTGGCTTTATTCAACAACATTCACCTCCTCAATGAGGCCATAGACGCATTACCAGCATCCCAAGGCTGTGACTGGAGGGGGGGCAGTTTGGGGAGCAGGACCCCCTCTGCCCCTCTCTCACAGGGAGATGCCCATGAGGTTCACTGGGCGCCCATTGTAGCGCTTGGAGACGTCGGCTTCGATCTGCAAGACAAGAGGCAGAGAGCGATGAACGGCTGTGGGGGACAAAGGGGGGGCCCTGTGGGGTCTCCTTCCCTCCCTCCTTCACCAGCTTCTGCAGCTCCTTGGTCCTCTCCATCAGCTGGTCCAGCTTGGGCTCCAGTGCCCCCTGCTCCGCCAGTGCCTCCCGCCTCTTCTGGCCCATCAGCTCCTTCTTGGCCAGCAGCAGCTCCGCCTGCTTCAGCTTCTGCCGCAGCAGCTCACTGACACGGTCCACGTACCTGCAGGGGACAGCCAGGACCCCATCAACCCCGGCCCCACCATGGGACGCCTCCCGCAGAGCCCTATGGCCCCAATCCCTACGGCCCCATTGAGGACCTGGGCGAGGCGAGGATCATGAAGAGGTGCTGCATGCTGCGGGTGCAGAGCTGGCCCAGCAGAGCCCGCGTGGTGGCCAGCAGCAAGCTCACATGGGCGCTGGTTTGGCCTTGGAGCACAGCGGGGGCCAGTTGGAACTGGGTCATGGCCACGATGTCGGCCTCTTCCTCCATCTCCTCCAGGCGCTGGGACAGGAACAGCTCCAGCTGCGGGGACAGGGGTTGGGGGGGGAAGAACACTCCACTATGGCATCGTGGTGCCCCTTACCCAGCTCCTGCAGCGTCCTCACCTCCATGAGCTCATCAATGAACTGGCTCCGGGTCTCAGTGTGTTCCAGCAGCGTCAGGGCATCGGAGCCGCAGGCAACTCCCTCGGGCACTGGGGATGAGCAGGGAAGCAGCAGGGGAGGTTGCTCCATGGCTCAGACACCCACACCCCAGCTTGGCCCATATAGCATCACCCCCATGGCACTGTTTAGTGGGGTCAGGGGCCTGCATGGGGAGTGAAGGCGGTGGGGCAGCAGCAGGACAAGGGGTGATGGGTTTAAACTGAAACAGGGGAAGTTCAGGTTGGATACAAGGCAGAAGCTCTTCCCTGTGAGGGTGCTGAGGCGCTGGCACAGGGTGCCCAAAGAAGGTGTGGCTGCCCCAGCCCTGGCAGTGTTCAAGGCCAGGCTGGACACAGGGGCTTGGAGCAAGCTGCTCCAGTGGAAGGGGTCCCTGCCTGTGGCAGGGCTTGGAACTGGGTGAGCTTTAAGGTCCCTTCAACCCAAACCACTCTGGGATCCTGTGATTTGGACCCTCCATGTCCCTTTGCAGCCGCGCTCACCCTCGGTGCCAGCCTCCAGCCCCGTGATCTGCACCTCCTGGCTCTCCCCATCTCCCCAGTCAATGCCATCATCCTGCTGCAGAAGGACAGGCACCGTGTGAGGTAGGGGTGCCGGGGACACCCCAAGGTCCCCAGCCCAGCCCTGGAGAAGGGCCAGACCCGAGGATCACAAATCACACCTGAGGACCGGGCTCTACGGTGATCCCCCAGTCGATCCCCTCGCTCTGGGCTCCCCCATTGCCAGCGGCACCATCACCCACCGCAGCCGGCTCCAGCGTGAAGTCTCCCCAGTCGATCTATGGGGAGAAGGACAAGAGAGTCCCTGAGACCCCAACGGGGCCAGAGCCGGATGAGGCTCCCCCCCCTTCAAGCCCCACCGAGGACTCACCGAGTCCTCCTTGGGCTGCTCCGGCTCCTCCTGCAGCTCCGGCCGCTCCACGCGCAGCGGCCGCAGCCCCGTCCTCCACTCGTACACGGTGGTGTTGCCTCTGCTCCCCACGAACCGCAGCAGGGGCAGCACCACCTCTGCAGGGCTGGCAGCCCCCATGGGGACATCAGTGCCCGGCACCCCCAAAACCCCATCGGGGTCCCTCAGGGTGAGCCCCATGGGGAGGGGACATGATGGGGATGGGGAGGGGGGGTTCCCTGCACCCCCCAAACCCACCTCTCGCACACGAACTCCACACAGGCCTGGTAGAGCTCGATGGCCTCAGCGAGGGCGCTGGCTCCGGCCCCGACCTCAGACAGCAGCGATGGCAGGTCCTTCACCAAGGCCAGCAGCTCCTGGCGCACGTTGTCACCCTGGGGACAGAGCAGCCCAAGCCTCCCTGTGCTGCCTTCCCCCTCTCCTTGCACGAGGCGGAGCATTTAGGCTGGATATAAGGAGGAAATTCTTTCCTGTGAGGGTGCTGAGGCACTGGAATGGGTTGCCCAGGGAGGCTGTGAATGCTCCATCCCTGGCAGTGTTCAAGGCCAGGTTGGACAGAGCCTTGGGTGCCATGGTTTAGTGTGAGGTGTCCCTGCCCATGGCAGGGAGGTTGGAACTGGATGATCTTCAGGTCCTTTCCAACCCTAACTATTCTATGATTGTGGGGTCACCCTCAGCTCCACGGGGACGCCCTGAGGAGCCCGGTGCCGGCACTGGGGCGCAGCAGCGGGGTCACTCACGGTGATGCCGTACTGCTTGCAGGAGGAGCAGAAGCGCTCCCGCAGCTCCGCTGCTCCCAGCTGGCATTCCTCCTCGCGGCGCACAAAGTCCTGCTGCGCCTGCTGGCACCGGCTGATCTGCTTCCGCAGCGACGGGATCTCGTAGCTGATGCTGCGCACCAGGAGGCTGGCGAGCTCGGCTGCACGGCGGAGGTGGGGGGAAACAGGGGCTGAGAGGCAGGGCCAGACACCCAGGAGGTCCTCAGGGTGCTGCAGACACCTCGGCTGCTTTCCCCAAGCCATGCATGGGACTTGGCAGCCCAGCGCATCCTGCACCAATTCCCCTGTGCACCCCATCTTCATCCCGGTTTGGAGACTTAAAGGGCCCCCCTCCAAAGGGCTCCCTCCGGAGCTGCCTCACCCAGGTAGGTGTTCTCCTTCTCATAGAGGGACACGATCTCCTGCCAGTCCTGAGGAGGAAGGAGAAGGTGAGGATGAGCGAACACCAGCCCGTCACCCCAGGCCCCCGTGGTCCACGCTCACCTTCATGCGCTGCGACGAGTAGCGCCCAAAGAGGTTCTTGGTGGAAGCCTCAGTGCCCTTGAGGATCTCCACGATGCGCAGGCAGTGGAAGTAGTGCAGGTCTGCGATGGAGGGAGGGATGCGGTCACTGGGGTCTCTGTCACGGGGGTGTCCATGTCCCCCCCAGCCCCAGGCTGCACTCACAGGCCCCATCCAGGAGCTGCTTTATCTCCTGGTTCTCCGGCATGTCCTGGATGGCCGCGTTGATCTTCTCGCGGATGGCCAGGACCTGGCTCTGCCATTTCAGGTTGCAGTGCCTCCTGTCCACCAGCCAGTCTGTGGTGCAGGGGTCAGCATGGACAGGGGCACTGGGGGGGGGGCTCAACCCGACGGGGTCACCCCCCCCCCCCCCCCCCCCCCGAGGCTCCCCCCAACACAGGGGTAAAGCCCCAGCTCCATCCCAAGCTCCGGGAAGGGCTGGAGGGGAAAGGGGGGGATCAACCCAGCACGGCACCGAGGACACGAGTGACCGGACCCCCCCGACCCCATCCCACCCTGTGGGGGTGCCCGTACCCAGCAGCTTCCCGGTCTGGATGTCGATGGGCACGTTCTGGTAGTCCTGGGGAGAGACCTGCGGGGGGGGGGGGTGAGAGGCGGCGGATGGAGCAGGGACGGGGATGGACCAGGGCCCCTTCCCTTCTGCCCCGTCCCTGTCCCCGGCCCCAGTCCCGATCCCGATCCCGATCCTGGTCCCGATCCCGATCTCGGTCGGGATCCCAGTCCCGATCCCGATCCCGGTCCCGGTCCCGATCCCGGTCCCGGTCCCGGTCCCGGTCCCGATCCCGATCCCGGCCCCGATCCCGATCCCGGCCCCGATCCCGATCCCGGTCCCGATCTCGATCCCGATCCCGATCCCGGCCCCGATCCTGGTCCCGATCCCCATCCCCATCCCGATCCCGATCCCGGCCCCGATCCCGATCCCGATCTCGGTCCCGGCCCCGATCCCCATCCTTGTCCCGGTCCCGGTCCCGGTCCCGGTCCCCGTCCCCGTCCCCGTCCCCGTCCCCGTCCCCGTCCCCATCCCCATCCCGGTCCCGGTCCCTACCTGCATGATGCCACCGCTCCAGTTCCGCGTCCCCCTACTTCACTGCTCGCCTCAGCCAATCCCCAGCCACGGGGCCGTGCATTTCATCCAATCAAAACGCGCTCCGTCTAAAGGACCCCGCCCCGTTGGACCAATCAGAAGGGAAGCGGCATAGCGACAGTGCCACTCGCCCTAGCTCCGATTGGCTGGGATCGGGCGGGGGAGGAGGCGGCGCTGACCAATCGGAAGGGCAGGGAGGCAGCGGGCCCTGCGCGCGTGCGCAGTGCGGAGCATCCCTCTGGTTGATCCCGGGGCAGATCCCATGGGGATCCCCGGGTGCCCCCAGCGCAGATCCCGGATCCCTCAGGGACCCCAGCACAGAGCCGGGATCCCCATGGGGTCCCCACCTGCTCCTCGGGGGATCCTGGGTCCCTTGAGGATCCCCAGGGGATGACCCAAAGCAGATCCCAGATCCCGCAGAGACCTCTGGGTGCCGCAGCACAGAGGCACCCAAGCAGGTCCACAGGTCCTATAGGGATCCCCAGATCCCCCCAGAGGGTGCCCCAGATCCCTCCGGGATCCCCAGGTGCCCTTCATGGGATCCTGGGTCCCTTGGGGATGCCTTTGCACAGAGGGACCCAGAGCAGATCCCAGATCCCTCGAGGATCCCCAGCCACCACTCAGGGGATCCTGCATCCCTTGGGAGATCCCTTTGCGGCAAAGGGGGGAGGACCCGACGCAGATCCCACATCCCTCAGGGATGCTCTTGGTGCTGTTCCCACCGGGAGCAGCCACCCCAGGATGCCCACGGGCTCCCTGCGTGCGTCCCTATGGGATGTGCCCGCGGGGCAGCGGGAGGAGGCAGGAACCGGTCTGGCAGCCGCTGGTTTCGGCTGATCCCACCGAGCCCGCTGCCGCCTCATGCCCTTAACCCCCGGCTGCCCGCAGCGCTCCGTGTGCCCGCCTCACACCGGCCCTCGGGGCAGGGGTAACCGGTACCACGGGCAGCGCCGGGAGCCACCGGGGCCGGGGCTCAGCCCCGGGTTTCCCCCCACCCTCCCCGGGTCATGAATATTCAGCCCTGGCCCGGCCCCGCTGTTTGCTCACGCAGGAGGGGTTTGGTCGCGGGTTCACCTTGACCGGCAGCCAACGGGGCAGCGGCAGGTACAGATCCCAACCGGAGCCATCCCGGCACCCCCGGAGCCGGGCGGCTGCAGCGGACACCGGGAGGCGCAGGTACCAGGGAATGGGGTGTCCGTGGTGGGGAGCGGGAGGTGGGAATCCTCAGCGCGTGGTTTGGGGACAGATCCCACCCGGTCCTGGCAGGACGGGGCATGGAGCTGAGGGGGACGGGACACAGCCCACGAGCCCCCCCGAGGGCACCGGTGTCCACCTGGGGTGGTGGTCGCAGTCTTGGTGTCCTTGTCCCCTTATCCCGGCACCTGAAGGCGATGCCAAAGGCACCGTCCGGGAGGAGCTGAGTGCTGTGGGGTCATGGAGCCGTGCTGGCCCCCAGGACAGGGATGAGGCGCTGGGAATCCCTTTGCTGCAGGGGATCCCGTTTGGATCCTGTGCTCGGGAGCCGCCTTCCCTGGTCCCTGCCCTGGAGCCACACTTGGCACTGGAGCCTTCCTGGATTGCCAGAGCCTTCCGGGATGCAGCCGGGGCCTCTGCAGCAGGGCTGGGCATGGGGCAGGGACCCATGGCAGGGACCCCAGCACCTCCACAGCTCCCACCTGCTTCCCAGTTGCTGTTTGCTCACTGGGCATCCACTCCTGTGGCTGATCCAGCAGCTCCCAGTGGATCGAGTCCCTGGAGCTTGGCAATGCCCAAATCCCAGGAGCATCCCTCCCGGCACCTCCTGCCCTATGTCCCCTATGAGCACAGCCAGCGGAAGAACCACCTTTGGCGAACAGGGCCCAAATCAGCCCCCCCATATCCCTCACCCATCCCACTCCTTGGCTTGGGAATGCCAAGGGACACCCGGGGAAGGATTCCATCCCCTCTCTCCATCCCAGGGCGCAGCGGCGATGGCCGAGAGCCACGGCTGGTGGAAGCTGACGTTCCTGCGCAAGCGGCAAGCGGCACCCACGGTGCTGTACGAGAGCCCCGACAGCCTGGGTGCCGGCACCGGTGCCGGTGCCAGCCAGGAAGGGCCGGGCCCGGAGGGGCCGCCCGGGTTGGCGGCGCGGCTGGAGAAGCTGGTGGACAAGAGCAGCAAGGGCAAACACGTCAAGGTCTCCAACTCGGGGCGCTTCAAGGAGAAGAAGAAAGTGAGGGCGACGCTGGCCGAGCATCCCAACCTCCGCACCGGCGGCGAGCAGGAGGAGAAGTGACCCGGATCATCGTCGCCTCCCGGCAATGCCGGCCCATGGGGATTCGGAAGGGGAAATGAGTGGCGTTGGTTGAAGGGAGAAGCAAAGACCCTGGGTAATCGCAGCCAGAGGGAGAACTGGGAATCAGAGCCAGGCTCCTGGACTGGAGGAGACCCCCGAGCACTGACTGGTTCGTACTGGGATGAGGATGCTCACCCTGGTTGCTTGCCATGGAGCATCGGAGTCATTGCACACCCAGTTCTACCACGGCTCCGATCCCATTCCCGATCCCCTCCTACCCATCACTCCTGCAAGGGGGGTCCATGGGGACCCCCCTGTCTCATCCCCAAACCCAAGGGGCTGCGTGGCCAAGGGCAGAGCCAGTGATGCAGAGCCATGTCCTTGCCAGGATCACCCCCAAAACAACACAGAGGGAGCAACCCCATGGGGAAAGTGCCCCCTGAGCTGCCTCTATGAGGGACTCCGGGCTTCCCAGGAGGAGCCAGATTCCTGCTCACACCCAGGAACCACTTCCTGGTCCTGGAAGCACCCAGAGCCAGGCCGGGGCTGTTGGGGTCGTCGGAAGCTGGTATTTAACTGCTGTTAATGGGGGGTGGAAGCAAAGCCCCCTTGGTTGGGGGGGAGAGCTCAGGGGACTCCCAGCCCCAGCCTGGCAGAGCCGAAGGTGCCACCACCGGGAAGCCCTGACCCTGCAGAAGGGGGGGACACGGGGGTGCCCGTCCCTGGTGCTGCCACCCCTGGGTGCCCGTCCCCATGGTGCTGGGTGCGGCCGAGCCCGAAGTCAACAGCAGCAGCCACTTCCCAGCTATGACAAAAGCCGGATGGTGCCAAGTGCCGGAGTCCAACTCCCCCCAGGTTCGCTCTGTTTGCTCTGCCCCAGCTCACAGCCTGCTCTTTGTCCCCATTGCATCTGGGATCCTGCCCCACACGGAAGGGAGGGAGAGCAGGGAGGTGTCAGCGTGGATTCGGTGCCCGCAGGCTCAGCTGCGCCCATCCCCGTGGTATCTGGGCTCCCAGCGCCGGGATGGGTGGGAGACCCCATCTCCCTTCCGCCGTCCCCACTGTCCCCTCTCACTGCCACCCACCCCAATGGCATCCGAATCCATGGGGCACAATCCTGTCCCGAGAGCCAGTGATCGGGAGAGCAAAGATAGAGCCAGGGAAGGCGAATGTGATGGGGGACCTGACCCAGGGGACCCAGGGCTGCAGCACCCCATGGGGCCGGGATCCCCCCGGCTGCACCGGCTCTGGAGAGCGCAGCCTGGCCCCATGTGGGTAAATATTAACCAGAGCCAGCACGCAGAGCTGCAATGATTGGGATTTATTATGTCCAAGCTTGGCCAAGCAAGGGGGGGGGAACAGGGAGAGGAACCCCCAGGATGGGGTCCCCTGGTTACAGGGAGATGGGGTGCGGTGGTGGCAACGCACAGCCACGAGCATGGGTGGCATTAATGCCACGATTCAATAAGTTATTGCACAATTAAATCAGTTCTTGCACACTCGCAGGGCTCTAACCAGTGGTGTCGGGGTTGGGGATCATTGAGGTCTGTCTTGGTCCATCCACAACCATGAACATGATGAGTTCAGCAGGAGCGGGTGGGGAAGGAGCCGGTCAATGGGGCTGGAGCAGAGTCCCACACAGCATCACCCCCAAAGCGCTGGGCGCGGAGCAGGGCAGCTTCCGACCCCATTCCCAAGGGATAAGCACGGACAACGCTCCCAATGGCCAGGGGACAGCGGTGGCATCAGGGCGAGAAGCGCTCGAAGACCCACGGGCCCTCGCCGCGGTGGCTCATGGCACCCAGGGGCTCGGAGCCGTCCCGCAGCCGCCGGAAGACGATGCGGTCGTGCAGGCGGTTGGTCTGCCCCTGCCAGAACTCCACCACGTCCGGGTGCAGGATGTAACCCCCCCTGGCACAGGACCACGGGGCTCAGTGGGGGCCGGCGGGCAGCAGCCCCGTGCCGCAGCACCCCGCAGCAGCACTCACCAGTACGGCGGCTTCGGCACCGGCACGTCCCGGTACCGCTCCTCCAGCTCCGCGTTCCTCTTCCTTAGGTACTGCAGGGGAAGCGGGTGAGCGGGAGGGAAGCACCGGAGCTGCCGGGGCCGTTCCGTGGGGAGCGGGGTGGCTGCTCACCTCCCTGTCTGGAATGACGGTGCTCTGCCGGCTCACCACAGCCCCGATCTGGCTGCTCCTGGGGCGGGAATGGAAGTACCGCTCCGATTCCTCCTCCGGCAGCCGCTTCACCGAGCCCTCGATGCGGACCTGTGCCGGGCACCGTCACCCCATCAATGGGGCCACAGAGACCCCATGGGAGGAACTGCCCCAACCACCCCAATAATGGGCACTCCCCCATCACTTCTCATCCTCCTCATCCAAGTGGGAGCCCCAAACTCCCACCCCAAATGCGGAGCGCCCACGTGCCAAGGGCCTGACCTATGGGTGCTCCCTCTGCTCCCCATATCCCCGGGGGAACACAACTCACCTGCCGGTTGAGGGGCTCCCAGTAGAAGACCAGGGAGGCGAAGGGATTCATATCCTGGGATGCGATGGGGAGAAGACGTGAGCGACCAGAGGAACCCCACAGGTGTGCGGTGCAGGACCCAACCTTGGGGCTGCTTCACCTCTCTGAGAGCCACAGCCCCGGTGTTCCCCTGCCTTGGATCCCCCATAGCTGCAGCCTCACCAGCTCCTTCCCCTTGCGGCTCTCGTGGTTGGTGAAGAAGCGGAAACCATCCTCCCCGAAGCCCTTCAGCAGCACCATGCGGGCCGAGGGCTTCCCGTCCCTGCAGAGGGGATCATAGAAACACCATGGGATGGGTTGGGTTGGAAGGGACCTTAAAGCCCATCCAGCTCCAACCCCTACCATGAGCAGGGACACCTTCCACTGGAGCAGCTTGCTCCAAGCCCCTGTGTCCAACCTGGCCTTGAACACTGCCAGGGATGGGGCAGCCACAGCTTCTCTGGGCACCCTGTGCCAGCGCCTCAGCACCCTCACAGGGAAGAGCTTCTACCCATCCCATGTGGCTCCATGCCCCATGGATGCTGTGCACTGCAGCCATGGGTGTCCCCAGCATCATTCCCAGCAACCCCGCTCTGTCCTCACAGGCTGGGGGGCTCCAGCCCTGCTCCTCACCTAAGAGCTCATCTCAGTCTCCCCTCTGGCAGGTTAAAGCCATTCTCTTCGGCCTGTCCCTACATCCCTTGTCCCAAGCCCCTCTCCAGCTTTCCTGCAGCCCCTTCAGGCACTGGAGCTGCTCTCAGGTCTCCCCTTCAGGAGCCTTCTCTTGTCCAGGCTGCCCCAGCCCAGCTCTCTCAGCCTGGCTCCAGAGCAGAGCTGCTCCAGCCCCCGCAGCATCCCCATGGCCTCGCATCCTTGATGCACGGGGACGATCCCCTCCCTCCATGACCATGATGCTCCCCTTGAGGCTCTCACCTCTCCAACCCGTCCAGATCCCAATGGGAAGCTCCGTGTCGTTCCCCCCGCCCCATATCCCCCTCCCCATCCTCACCTGGTGCAGGTTGCCAAGCACATGGCATTGGCCTCCCCGATGTCCGGGCAGCTCACGGCCTCCTCGAACCACGCTCGGAACTGCTGGATGGGGTCACGGGAGACCAAGTTCTGCTCCTCGAAGGCCTGGGGACACCGGGGACACGGTGAAGGGGGGGGGCACAGCAGAGACAAGGGCACGGCCCCCCCCAACCCCGGGTGATCCATGCAGGGGATGGGGTGACCCCAGCTCCGTGGTAAGGGGGGGAACCCGGGGGGGGGTCACCCCAATAGAGGGGCACAATGAGCACGGGTGGGGGGGGGGGGTAACCCCAATAGAGGGGCACAATGAGCACGGGGGGGGGGGGGTGCACCCCATTCCCACTGTCACCACCAGCACGTGTGTGGGGCACTGCAGGCTTCGGGCCAGCCCGGGGGGGGGCACGGCGGCCCCAGGTCACAGCCGGACCAGGGACCCATCGCCCCCCCCGCCCCGTTCGTGTCCTCCCCGCCCCGTCCCCACCTCCTCGTCCCCCCGGTAGCTCTTCCGCAGCGGCCCCAGGTCCATCCCGGCCGATGGGCGCCGAGCCGAGCCCAGCGGAGCCAACCGGACACCCCCCGCCCCGCAATGGTCCCGTCCAAGGCCATGGCGCTCCCCGCCTCACAGCCAATAGGAAGCGTTCTCCGCAGTGACGGATGAGGAGAGCTTGGAGCCAATTGGAGGAGGAGGGGGCGGGACGAAGAAACCCGGAAGGAGTGCGAGGGCTGTAAACAGACACATGGAGGGGCTCTTAAAGGTACAGCGTCCTGCGGGGGAGCCGGGGGAAGGGAAGGGAAGGGGGGCACGGGCTGCAGGACAGTGGGGAGGAGCGGGGGGGGAAAGAGGAAGGTGGGGGCAAGACATGGGGCTGAGGGGAGGGGGGGGACCCTGGGGATGGAGGCAATGGGGACAGAGTGGGGGCAATGGAGATGGAGGCAATGGGGACAGAGTGGGGGCAATGGGGATGGAGGCAATGGGGACAGAGTGGGGGCAATGGGGATGGAGGCAATGGGGACAGAGTGGGGGCAATGGGGATGGAGGCAATGGGGACAGAGTGGGGGCAATGAGGATGGAGGCAATGGGGATGGAGGCAATGGGGACAGAGTGGGGGCAATGGGGATGGAGGCAATGGGGACAGAGTGGGGGCAATGGGGATGGGGGCAATGGGGACAGAATGGGGGCAATGGGGATGGAGGCAATGGGGACACAGCTGGGACAAGAGGGGGGTGCAGGAGATGGGGGACCCGGACCCCAGAACCCCCCCTCAGACCCAGCCGGGGCCACGGGAGGTACCGGGCATGGGCACATCCCTGTGTCCCCCATGGGGAGGGGGCTGTGAGCCCCACACTGGGCCCGCTCCATCCCCGGGCTCGGTGAGGAGACCGCGGCGGCGCAGGGTGATGGTGCTGGTCTCGGGCACCCGCTGCATTGGCAACGGCAGCAGGGCCGGGAGTCACGGGGTGGGTTGGAAGGGAGCTTAGAGCACATCCAGCTCCAACCCCTGCCACGGGCAGGGACCCCTTCCATAGAGCAGTTTGCTCCAAGCCCCTGGGCCTTGAGCACTGCCAGGGATGGGGCAGCCACAGCTTCTCTGGGCACCCTGTGCCAGTGCCTCAGCACCCTCACAGGGAAGAGCTTCTGCCTTGTATCCAACCTGAACTTCCCCTGTTTCAGTTTGAACCCGTCACCCCTTGTCCTATCGCTACAGCCTCTGATGAAGAGCCCCTCTCCAGCATCCAGCCATGGGGACCCAGTCTGTGGGTGGCACTGGGACAGATGAGGGGACCACGGACGGAGTGGGATGGGGATGTGCTGGTCCTGCCCATGGCTGAGCGCCCTCTGTGACCCCACAGGCATCAGTAACAGCAACGTCCAGTTCCTCAAGAGGCTGGTGGGGCTGCGGGAGAGCAACGTGGCCACAGAGGTGGGTCTTGGTCCCCACATGTCCCTGTGTCTCCATCCCATGTGGCTGCGTGCCCCATGGATGCTGTGCGCTGCAGCCATCGGTGTCCCCAGCACCATCCCCAGCAACCCCCCTCTGTCCCCAGAGGCTGGAGGGCTCCAGCCCTGCTCCTCACCCACCCCAGGGGAGCAGAGCTGTGCCCTGGCTGACATCCCCCGGAGCCCCCACCGCCTGCCTGGAGGCTCCAGCCCCTGCTCCAGCACCGAGTAGGGGCCCAGTTCCCCCTAGCCATACTCACTGACACCCCATGCCTCTGGGAGCAGAGCAGGGGGCACCCGGTGCCCGGCAGCCCCTGCGCTGGGCATCTCCTGCCGAGGTGGATGGAAGGGCTGGATGGGGCTCCTGGGGTGTCACCGGGCACGGAGCTGTGGTTGGAGTGGAGGGGACACAGAATTGGCCCCAAGGTCTGGAGTGTGTCAGAGTACCCCAGGGTCTCCATCCAGGACCCAGACGTGAGCTCTCCCCTTTCACCCCAGGAGAACGGGAGGCCCAGAGTGGAGCTGGTGCCCAACTTGGGGGTCTGCATCACCCACCTGCAG